CCTCGGCTGTGAAAAGGAGTCATTCTGTTACCTATCGGCCAAAGCCACCTCTCTCACCCGTGTTACCACCTGTCTCTCCAACTCCAAGTCTCTCATCTGTCACAGAGTCAAAGCAGTTATCTAAACTCAAGGTTAGTGTTCATAGTGCTTCACACTGACATTAAAATATGTAAGTAAAAAGCTAAAAATAAGTTTATCATCTACTTATGTGACTGCAGTTATTATTTGTAGCCTCCTTTATAGCCTCCTTTATGATGGTTAACACATCCACTTGGTTTTCCCTTAAGAGGTTTACAGATGTAGACAAGAGTGTCAAGACATTCGTCTTATAACAATATTGTTTTCCAAATGCTGTTGGGCTTTTTGGTTTGGTATTGTGCAAGGCTGTTACGCTTTGGCCCGTGGGGAGTCTCAGAAATATTATAACCTCTGATGAATAATGGAATACTGTTATATAGTTCATGTGACCCATTTTTAAAACTCAATTTTGGTTTTAATATAGATTACCTGCTATATTCCCAAAGCCTTTAAAGGCAAAGCATAGGGATTTGCGTGTTTTTACCTGACTGAATGTTTATCTTGTCCTGTTGAAATTAAAGATCAGTAAGGTTGTGGTGTAGCATTTTGTATGTTAATAGTTAATTTCAGGAAATGATAAGAGAAGCTGTGAGCGAGACGAGGATGAGTGAGTGGCGCAATCCACTGGCAATGAATAACTAAACAATTCAAGCCACTTTACGGTTTCTTAATTATTTGTGCGGGATGTTGTGGACATGATGAGACTGCATGTTTCATAACCGCATGCTGTCTGAGTTTTGATCAGTGTGATTTGTAACTGTGGCCTAAGACAACAATTTTCTAATAACTGAGCAACAAATATAGAATTTGGTTTGTTTGTCACTCCCAGTACATTAAAAGCACACGTAATCAGTTAATACTAACCAGTATGTAACTAACAAATTTATTTTTCTGCCTTTCATAAAAATAGTAAAACATCCTAGAAATCTGTCAAAAACTTTCAAGTTTAGTTTAAAATTGAAAAAAAAAAAAGATTTATTAGGCAAATAACAAAGTAAATAAATTTAATACATTTATTTGTTTTTTTGCATGCCACATGATAGAAATGTTTGGATATATTGCTGTTAATTCACAAATCAGATTATGCATCCTGAACAGAGTTAAATTGTGAATTCCTTTTTAATCTTTAACTTTTCTCAATAGGCAGTAAATAAAAAGGACTATTGTGCTACGTAGATGAAAAATCAAGGTTAATTCTAATTAACTCAGTGAAACATGTAACAGTTTCAAGCCCTCAGGAAATAGTCCACATTTTAATGGTGCAGTGTTGTGTGCTTTCTTTCTTCAACGATGTATATAGCTATACTTAAAAGACATAATGGCTGGTATGACTTTTTTTGTATTATACTGTGTAGGGACGATCCTTTTTCCCTCTCTACAACAAATCCCACTTGTAGCCCACATCTTAAGGAAATACCTTAAAAGATATTGCAGTCTTTTACCTCTTTTATATTGTCTGAGATAGCAAGTCTCCAGTGATTGCACTTTGTTTCTTTTCTGTGCATTACAGGACTGTGAACATAGCGAGGTGGATAGCAATGGCTCTACTTTACAGAGCGAAGAGGGTGAACCGCCATCTAATAGTGACAATGTTCAAACGGGAGAGTCCGGTCCATAGCAGTGCCTTAATTCTTCTGACTGCATATCATTTACAGTAAGCAGAAACCAACACTTGACAATAGAAGTTCTTGAATGTTTCCACAACACTTGAATGAAACATATTTTTCTCTTTCAGGAGAAACTTGTCCTGCCTGCTTTGACTTCTCTGGAGCCCTTTATCCCAGGACAAAGAAGAAGAAAGCCCCCCCCCCCTTTTTTTTTTTCTTTAGTAGTTTCCAACAGCATACATAAAATCATATATTTTGTTAATTAACAATTGCTAAATTTTGGTTTATTTTCTCACATCATTAAGCGATATAACCCCGGCTGCACATTTTAATGATTCTATTTTTATTTTGTTTTCACTCGAGTGCTCAGAGATGATAAATAAGAACAATTCGATAAATTATTAGTGATTTCCTGAGTTGTAATATTATTGGGTGTATTAAGAAAATGTATTATCTAAATAATACTGGATGTTTAGACCAGACCTGTCTATATTTAAGTATTACAGAGTTTTGTTTAATCTATATGCAGAAAGACACTGATGTGTACAGTACACTTATTGTCATTGGCAAGCAGTGTTATGAATAAAGCTTTTATCAAGCCGGTTGCCTTTATTATTATTATTATTATTATTATAGTCATTGCTTTGATTTCTCCACACATGATGCAGAGCGAAATTGGATCCGACTGAAAACAGTCACTCGCTCACAACAGGTAAAACCGGATCCCACTTCATGACTTAAAGCAGCTTGTACTTTACCTGTAGCTTCTCTTACATGTGAGTCCAGTGAGTTTCATTCCTTGCTGGGATACTGGGACCTGCTTGAATGCTTGCATTATCAGCCCCATTTAAGGAGGTATAAAGGTAACCCTTCTAAACTTATGTCTCTTCATACTAGTGTACAGGGCGCAGGAAAAGCAGAAAGAATCACCCTGCTCCATAAGTTTGAAGT